AATATTCAAATTAACAAACGTTAACGTTTCCCGTTTGTTTTTCCTGTTTTGGCACAGACCTGAATGAATGTACCTGGAAACCATGCCTCCATGGACGCTGTGTGAACAAAGATGGCGGATACACATGTACCTGCGACCCTGGATGGACTGGACAGAACTGTCAGCAAGGTTAGCGTTTAATTAGTGTCAGTCATATATGCCGGGATTCTTTATCGTTTTCTTGAAACATGAACAAGCCAAGGTGCCTGAGTTCTTTTTTTGTACAAGCCAAAGTTTTAAATTAAGTGTTAAGGAATTTATTGTCTGTATTAGTTTAAGGTCCCTGGCTGATTAAATGTCATTTTTGGAATAAGGCTAGAATGACCAACATCTATGTAATATAGTTGCTTATTAGCTAGATCAACCTTAATTTTGAAGACTATTTTTTTTTTTGACGCAGACCTGAATGAATGTACCAGGAACCCATGTCAACATGGACGCTGTGTGAACAAAGATGGCGGATACAACTGTACCTGCAACCCTGGTTGGACTGGACACAACTGTCAGCAAGGTGACTGAGTTCTTTTGTGTAGAAGCCAAAGCTTTAAATTAAGTGTTAAGGAATTTATTGTCTGTATTAGTTTAAGGTCCCTGGCTAATTGACTGTCATTTTTTGGAATAAGGCTAGAATGACCAACATCTATGTAATATAGTTGCTTATTAGCTAGATCAACCTTAATTTTTGAAGACTTTTTTTTTCTTTTGATGCAGACCTGAATGAATGTACCAGGAACCCGTGCCTACATGGACGCTGTGTGAACAATGCTGGCGGATACAACTGTGCCTGCAACCCTGGATGGACTGGACAGAACTGTCAGCGAGGTGATTATTTAAGTAGTGTTAGTCATATATGCCGGGATTCCTTATCACTTTCTTGAAACACAAACCTCTACTCTGTGTAGCTACTGATGCACTATAAGATGATATTTGGCTTTTTAAGCTGTAGGATTTATATGATTCTCTTCATCGCACAGACCTGAATGAATGCGATGGAAACCCATGTGAACATGGACACTGTGTGAACAAAGATGGCGGATACAAATGTACATGCAACCCTGGATGGACTGGACAGAACTGTCAGCAAGGTGTCTGAGTTCTTTTTGTTTAGAAGCCAAAGTTTTGAATAAAGTATATTCTGTATTAGTCTTAGGTCCCTGGCTTACTGTCATTTTTGGAATAAGGCTAGGATGACCAACATCTATGTACTGTAGTTGCTTATTAGCTCGATCGAGCTCATCTTAGAAGACTTTTTTTTTTCTTTTTATGCAGACCTGAATGAATGTACCAGGAACCCGTGCCTATATGGACGCTGTGAGAACAAAGATGGCGGATACAACTGTACCTGCAACCTTGGATGGACTGGACAGAACTGTCAACTAGGTGAGTTATTTTTGTGCAGTATTTAAGGTTTTAAATGAAGAGTTGAGGAATATCTTTTCTTTCTTCGTCTTTTCTGATTGACTGCCATTTTGAAAATAAGACTAAAATGGCCGACATCCATATACTGTAGTTGCTTGTTTGCTTGTTCAATCTAGCACAGTTTAAATACGTTTTTTTTTTTTTTTTTTTGACGCAGACCTGAATGAATGTACCAGGAACCCATGTCAACATGGACGCTGTGTGAACAAAAATGGCGGATACAACTGTACCTGCAACCCTGGATGGACTGGACACAACTGTCAGCAAGGTGATTGTTTAATTAGTGTTAGTAATATATGCTGGGATTCTTTATCACTTTCTTGAAACACGAACCTCTACTCTGTGTAGCTACTGATGCACTATAAGATGATATTTGGCTTTTTAAGCTGTAGGATTTATATGATTCTCTTCATCGCACAGACCTGAATGAATGTGATGGAAACCCATGTGAACATGGACGCTGTGTGAACAAAGATGGCGGATACAAATGTACCTGCAACTCTGGATGGACTGGACACAACTGTCAGCAAGGTGACTGAGTTCTTTTTTTGTACAAGCCAAAGCTTTAAATTAAGTGTTAAGGAATTTATTGTCTGTATTAGTTTAAGGTCATTGGCTGATTGACTCTTATTTTTGGAATAAGGCTAGAATGACCAACACCTATATAATATAGTTGCTTATTAGCTCGATAAACATTAATTTTTAAAGACTTTTTTTTTCTTTTGATGCAGACCTGAATGAATGTACCAGGAACCCGTGCCTACATGGACGCTGTGTGAACAATGCTGGTGGATACAACTGTGCCTGCAACCCTGGATGGACTGGACAGAACTGTCAGCAAGGTGATCGTTTAATTAGTGTTAGTCATATATGCTGGGATTCTTTATCACTTTCATGAAACACGAACACCCCTGTACATGCAACCCTGGATGGACTGGACGGAACTGTCAGCAAGGTGTCTGAGTTCTTTTTGTGTAGAAGCCAAGGTTTCGAATTAAGTGTTAGGAAATTTATATAATTTGTCTTCGTCAGAAAGACTGTGCAATTGTCTCGGCGCATTGTGGGCGACTGCGGATTTAGCGATATAACTCTGGCAGGCATGATTCGACGACCATGATTTTTGGCAGGCAGATTACCGTTGTTGAGGCCGAAGTTAAGTGCAAGTTTCGGCTTCGTGGGGGTCCGTACGTTACGTTAGTGCACTTTCTGTGTTTGTGGCTTGTGAGCAAAATAACTTGAGTATGTGTAGAATGATGTGTATAATTTTTGGTTAACAGGTTACTATTGTCGAGACCAAGGTTAAGTTCGTTAATGGGCTTCGTGGGGGGTTTAGTTCTCACTCCAGAGGGCATTTTCTTAATTTTTTTGTTAGGAGGATAACTTGTGTATATGTGGATGGAAGTTAATGAAATTTGGTAGGCATGTTACTGTGGTGGACACCAAGATTAAGTTCAAAGATGAGAGTCGTGGGGGTCGATATGTCCCCGAAATAGGCATTTTTGTGCGTTCCTTTGTTCTTTGTAGTTCAGGTTCGGATGTGGCATTAGTCCAGATTTTTGTATGGTGTATAGGTTTAGAAATATAGATATAGTGGTGTAAGTTTGAACTCTTTTGTTTTGTAGCAATGTGGAAAAGAAGTATTTTTTTGTTGTTCTGGTGTTGATATATCAGTGAGGGACAGGTGTTTTCACCATACACAGTTTAGCAGCATGTAACTATTAAAGTTGTTGGACAGCTATTACGTTGACAGGGTAATTGGTTTGGTGATTGAACAAATCTCTCTTTGATCATGAGCTAGTATAAATCAATTTTATACTTTATCAATTTTATACAATTTGATACGGCTATTCATGGGTGAGGTGTATTGGGCGGTACAAGCAGAACAACTGTCATCTGGCCATGTTATTTGCATACTATTTGGTATTCATGATCAGTTTTCTGTCCCTTTTTGGTGACGCTTTAGGGGCGGAGCCGTTGGTATAGTACTGCGATTGAGTTGAAAATATTCTAAGAATTCCACCAATGCATTCCCTTGGGAATTGCTTTTTGGCGATACCTTGCGGGACCTATTCTCCAAGCAGAGGTTCAAAGGGAAGATCGTTAGCTTTCTATATATATGTCCCGTTTCTGGTCGCTATCCCCACCAAACGTGGCATATATAGAAAGGTAACGACAATCCCCACCAACCTCTGCTTGGAGAGTAGTGCGACCAACCTTTGTACATAGGCATAATCTCCAGTCAATAATTTCTTCAAAACATCTTATTTTTTCGAGTCCACCCTTTAACTGTTTTTCTGACCATTGCATGCTCTCTGTATATATCAACTCTAATTATACTCATCAAAATCATTACGAAAAAAGAAAAGATCCAATTTTAAAACGAAATGGAACGGGAGGTGAAGAACTTATCATCATTACGAGGGGTGTTCAAAAAGTTCTCGGTCTCACCTAGAAAATAAAGGTCAAACTCCTATTCTTTGATATAATTGTATACTATAACGTCTTACATCACTGCACACAAAAATTCAAATTTTTATATTCGTTAATTAGCACGTGACACCCCGTGAAAATGGGGATGGTGAGGGCAAAATGACAAAATGGCCGCAACAGAAGTTAATAACCCTTACTGTGTACAAATAGGTAAATATATCAAAGAATGTTTAGACCTTAGAACAAGTAGTATTAGTTGACTCATCTATTGTTTTGTACGTAAGTTAATTTCGTTGTACCCATGTATTTGTCTGTATATCTACATGCAGTCTTAGACCTTACGAAAGTCCCTGTACTTTTGTGGTGTCAATAAAGTTCTCTCTGTATGTTTTCTTCAGCTGATGCAGTCGGTTTGTGGCCATTAAACTCACAGTACGGAGCGTCAGACAAAACGGGAAACGGAAATGACGGGGTAGCAAGAGGAACCCAGTTAGCCCCTGGTCCAAACGGAGACCCTGACGGCGCTTTTCTGTTTTCGGGGACTGCAAATTCTTACATAGACATTCCCAACAACGGCAAGCTGGATGTGCGGTACTCCTACACCATACTGGCCCACATATATCCTACAGGTCAGGCCGGGCCAATCTTCGACTACGTCGGTCAATGGTGGGCAAAGGTCACTATTTGGCGCATGCCCACAGGGCCCAGTCTGAGACCCCTTTGATTGAGTGCAGCCAAACCAACTGAAAACAGCCTTTTTCTTGGTATGAGCGGGTAAATGCTGGCATTTTCCAGCTGGAGAGTTATTTCTATTTCTATTAACTTGAAAAAACTGGCTGTTAGTGTTGTTTTGGCTGCTTGGTAGGCTCTAAAACTAATCCCATCTTCTTGTCTTTTGGTGGTCTTCAGGGGGGTCAGAGGTCATGTTGCCAGTGTTTGCATTTGCCGTGCTATGTATCGCTGGTCAAAAAGTGACATTTTTGGACTAAATGGACAATTTGGAAGTTGGACTACCCTGTCAATATGTGTTTGCAATAGTTGAACACTCAAGTAGGTCATTTTGTTGACAGCTCAGTTCTTAGATGTTTTCCATATATTCCAATAGGGGCTGGAATCGGTGGGCTGTCCCCCGGTGGTCGGTACATTTTTGGCAAACAACTCCACAGAACTTGTTCATGAGGTAAGTTTATAGCCCGGTATCCAGTCTGGTGTGGCCTTGTGGCGTAACGGCAAGGTGTTTGGCCTAAAACTCTAAAGTCCTCTCTGTGAATCCTGCCATGTCTTCTATTCTGTACCCTTTGTCAATGCACTAACTTTATGTAACAGTAGGTACCTGACTTCGGTTGGGGAGGTAAAAGGCGATTTGGAGAGTGGGTTTGGCTAGACTTTGACCCAGTGCCCTGGACAGAGGATTTTAGGCACACTGAACCTACGGCCTCAAAAAGGCAATGAGACTGCCTTTAATAGGTAAAGGCAGTCTCATAGCCTTTTTGTATCCAGTCTATTATAGTTTGCTTATGTATCTTGAGGGCAGGAGCGATGAGGGGAGATACCAACCAACAAGTCAATTCGATACATTTCAATTCGATACATTCACAATCTTCCTTTTACATATGAGTTGTCATGATGCAATGATCTATGTACATGTTTGCTTTTCTTCTCCTCTCTTCACGGTTTAAAATTGCAAAATTATAGCACATTATCTGTCTATTGCAGGACGGTCAGACGAGATGGACATATGTCAGAGGGGGTCAGTGCGAATGTGCTGCAGCAGAACGCTTGGAACTACGTGGGCGGAACCTACAATAGTGCCACAGGGGTTGCAATCCTCTGGAACAACGGTCAAGCGGTCGCACAGGTGCAGGTCGGGGTCCCGTCTGTCGCAACTCAGAACCCGGTCCGGGTGGCGGTGAAGGACGGAGACGATCGGTACTTCGCTGGCCGTATGGCCTGTCTCCAGCTGTACGACTTCGCCATGACTCAAGAACAGATCGCCGCAGCACGGGAGACGTGTTTTCGGAGAGGTTTGTGTTTTAACTATGCATTTTAACTGTACCTGCAGCTGGGCCCGTAGTCGTAGATTCTCGTAATTTATAGGGAAACGCTAAAAAATCCTGCTTTAATTTTCCTACAATACTGTCGTTTTAAAGTTTCACACTAACCTAACACTGCCTAGCCTGGATGCTAGACCCCGACCTTGCCCCGACTCGACATAATACTCCATTCGACTGGGGGAAGCCAGAAACTCCAATCCCAGATTTAGCACCTGGGTATGATAAAAATGTTCCCATATTTTTCGTAACAACTGTTTGGCACCCAGCCTACACAGTCCCCAACGTCAAACCAGTCATTTGTTGCGGGCAGTGCTACGAATGGTTAGAGTCGGAAAGATTACTTTTAACTGTCACACAAAGCCAAGTTTGGCCTTACGAACTCTACTCGAAGTGACCCATGATGGTTGGAGTAGGCTGAGAGCAGGGTCGGCACTTAACCGTACCCCCCACAATGCTCAAAGGTCTATTTTTTATCGAATGGTCAAAGATTTTTTGGCGACGCCTCCGGGGCGGAGCCGTTGGTATAGTGCCTCGAATGAGTTGAAAATATTCTAAGAATTCCACGAATGCATTTTGTCACAAGACAACTCAAGAACGGCTAGATAGATGGGTTTCATACTTGGTGGGTCCGTAGGGCGTGACTACATGTAGAAATGATGATCTTTTTTGGCCCCCTAGTGGCTTCACTTGGTACTGCAGCGGAATTTTTGGTCTTGATATCTCGCGATCTGGAAATGCTAGGGTCATGAATTTTGGACGGTAGGTAGCTCTTGTGCTTGGAAAGAAGTCACGTGAGTTAAGGCCCCCTAGCAGCCTGTTCTGGAAGTGCAAGGCAGTTTGTTAAAAACATATTCAAGAGAGGATAACTAAAAAAACGGTCGACGGCTCGTCATGATTTCTGGTACATGTATGTAGGTAGCTTAAGTGATGCTTGACATTATTTGAGTTACAATTATGCAAATCAGGATCTTATTTACATAATTAATGAAGAAATGTTATAAATCTGCTGTGTTCAATATTAGGGCTATGAAATACTTGGGACATATGTAATTGAGAACGACAAGATCTTTGACAGATATTGATTATGTAAATGAAGACCTGGTTTGCATAATCAATAAAAACTATACAATTTTGTAGTGGTATTGCTGGGAATGTAGTACACATGTACTTGCCACATTTTGAGTTCAGTGAAGTTGAATATCACTAAACAAAATTTATTCAATCAGGTCCTAATTTGCATAATTTATGAGGAAATGCTAGAATAGCCTTATCTCTCAAGTTAAGAACATGTTTATTATCAAATTCTTGTGAGAATGACTGGCTCACATACATAAACAAGCATCTCCATCAACAATAATCAAAGTAGACAACATGATTACCACACATTAAAAGAGAATCACGTCGCTGAGGCGTTTTTTAAAAGCCGCTTTATTCTTCTATTGGTTGGTTATAGGTAAGCCTCGTTTATTTGTGCTATATGTAAGTGTTGTGTGTTCGATGAGCTAGTTTACAGTTCTCAACAGTATTTCTTGAATGGTGTAGGTTCCTTGGATTTCTCGGTGTCGAGACCTCAACTATACGGTATGTGGTTATTTTTTTCCTTTTCTTACATTAGATGCGTTTTCCTGTAGTATGTTTTGCGTACAAATAGTGAAACGTCAAGTTTTCGGAGTTACTTTGCGTCGCAAAATGTAGGACAATGCGTTATGGAAGGTTAAACAAATCCAAATTTCCCGGGGGTGCATGTTCCCGGAACCGCTTTGCTTCGGTCCCAATTGAAAAAAGGGCCCCTGCCGGATAGTCCCCGGGCTGTCTTTTGGCACTTTCGGGCGTGACCCGCACGTGGCCCCGCGGGACACCCTGCGGCTACCTTGCTATTTTTTGGGGCCTGGCGGGGATCCGAGAAAAATTTTATTCTGACTTGAATTCTACCCGGGCCCCGCTGAAAAAAGACGCCGTGACCTCATCGTGAGAACACCGACAGGTACCCCTCCGGTTGCCGGCAGTCCACCGGGACACATTTGTTACGTCACAGACCAGATGAACAGAATATAGGTGTGTACTTCGTAAACCCGGGTAAAATACGTGACGTCACAAATCAAAGAATCACAACAAAGGCGTAAATTCTGCATTACGTATAGGTCAGTACAAGCCATCGTCAGAGAATCTGCCGGGTACCTGCCGGGTGCCTGCCGGAGACCGACCAAAGAGGGTGACAAAATTTGTAACAAAATGCCACTGAATGAAACTTTTAATTTTGACCACGACAGCTGATGCCCGCCCGACTCCTGAGCCCGACCGGGCCGGCCGGGGCTACATCCCCGACGGGCACCGGCGCGATTGAGACCGAATCTTAATTGCTCGCGCTTCGGCGCCTGGCGCCCGTATGCGCCCCTGCGTAGGCGCTTTCGTAGACACATTTGGGGATCAGGCCGGGTGGGGAACACTAGGTGTAAACTTGTTATTAATGTAGTTAGCGATTAGTCGTTCTCACCAACATATTAGATACTAAATGTTGTGGAGTTCGAAAAAAATGCGTGCCAATTTACCGCAAAGTGTTACTGACCGGCTTGCCGTTAAGCGTTGTCGGATAATGTATGATGTTCATGCCACATAACAGTTCTATTGCAATGATGATAACATTAGCTAACTCCAACACAAAATTTGACAGTTAACAAAACACACGTGAAACATATTAACTGTAAGGCACGGTTCACACAAGCAACCTGAACCACCACACATATAACACTTACAAATTGAACGTCCCACAATTCAATTCAAACCAAACGGTCCCGAACACCATTCACATCAACTACATTCTAAAATATATCAGCAACGTTTACAACTAAAATCAATTAAATCTAAAATATATAAACATACAAACGATCATATTACACAAACAAAAAAGGTCTGACGAAGACATGAGACCTCTGAGCTCTAGTTAGATTTAGAGCTCGTGTCTTTTTTAATCTGTCAGTACGTAGTTGTGGCTGTTGGTATGGTCCTGCTAATCTGTAATGGTTACAGACTGGCCAATTTGATACTATCTTACCCCCACCAAGAGGAGCGCTTTAGCTTCGGTCCCAATCGCGCCGGTGCCCGTCGGGGATGTAGCCCCGGCCGGCCCGGTCGGGCTCAGGAATCGGGAGGGCACCGGCTGTCGTGGTCACAAGTTTCCTACAGTGGCATTTTGTTAAAAATTTTGCCACCCTCTTTGGTCGGTCTCCGGCAGGCACCCGGCAGGTACCCGGCAGATTCTCTGACGATGTCTTGTACTGACCTATACGTAATGCAGAATTCACGCTTTTGTTGTGATCATTTGATCTGTAACGTCACACATTTTACCCGAGTTTACGAAGTACACACCTTTATTCTGTTCATCTGGTCTGTGACGTAACAAATGTGTCCCGGTGGACTGCCGGCAACCGGAGGGGTACTTGTCGGTGTTCTCACGGTGATGTCACGGCGTCTATTTGTCAGCGGGGCCCGGGTAGATTTTAAGTCAGAATTAAAGTCTTCTCAGGTCCCCGCCGGGCCCAAAAATAGCCCGGTAGCCGCAAGGTGTCCCGTGGGGCCACGTAGGGGTCACGCCCGAAAGTACCATAAAACAGCCCGGCAACTATCCGGCAGGGCCCTTTTTTTCAATTGGGACCGAAGCATAAGCTTCTACATGTTTCCACGAGAGGCTACACAGGTGGGTTGGTCAGCATGAGGAACAATCTTGTAAATGAACTAACTTCGGAGAAAATCCGGGAGATGGTACGCAAGAAGAGCTTCCACTGTCGGGTGTGTTCAGACCATTTCTAGCCTGGATGCGAAGATTAGATCTGCGTGTTGGTATAGTTTTAGGTACAGGAACAGAACAGTTGCCCTCCTCATGCCTTTGACTCAAATTCTTATTTTTTCAGGCTCGGGGTGCCATTTTCCATTTATGTACAAAGGAAAAACCTACAATTCCTGTACCACCGTCAGCCATAACCGTCCCTGGTGTTCTTTAACTGAGGTCTACCAGCCTGGCAAATGGAAAAACTGTGACGGTAAGTTCTTGATCACGATAAAATGGTTTCGTCCCCGTCTACCATTTGCCTTTCTGGTTCTGTGTGGGACGTGGTCAGAACAATCTGTGCATGCTTCTTCTCTCCATGTAACTTCTTTTTATCCGCACTTAACTTACCTGTTTTGTCCTACATGTACCGATGTATACACCACTTCATTGAGAGAGGGCAGGGTCCCTGAAGTGTGGCGTGATGCCACAGTAATCCCAGTGCCTAAGGAATACCCAGCGGACTTGAACAAGATCCGGCCAATCTCACTGACCGCACAGTTTGCCAAGATCTGTGAGGGTTTTATCAGCACATGGATTTTTTCGGACATCTTCCCAAACGTAGACATAAAGCAGTTTGGTAACATGAAGCGTTGCTCAACGACTCATTGTCTTATAGACCTCCTAAATTTCTTCTATGAGGGAGCTGAGAGGAAAAGCACTGTTGGCACATTAATACTAACTGACTTTTCGAAAGCATTCGATAGAGTCTGTCACACCACTGCCATTAACAAACTTATATCCATGGGCACAAGACCCTCACTGATCCCCTGGCTCTGTAGTTTTGTGTCAAACAGAAGGCAGCGTGTTAGGTATCAGGACTCTATATCGAGCTGGGAAACACTAACGTGTGGAGTGGCCCAA